ATATTTGCATGAGAAAATAAACCTAACCCTTGATATGCCCCTGTGTGAACAGTGCTAGTTAAACCTTAGTTCAAGCACCTTGAGCATATGGTTTTGAAATTGTTTTTCTAAGAGTAATGGCTATCAAAGAGTAAAGATGTTTGTCAGGTTTTTAAAAATATCCTCTGGTCAAACAATTGCACTGCTTTCTCCCACAGCGTTTTTGGCCAGATGTATTAATATCGTATAGGAGCATCAGACCAGCAGAACTGAACAGAAACTTAGGTGGATAACGTCTGTGGAGTCTTCACCTAAAAAATAAACTGAAATAAAGGCAACTGAAAGCAAAATTTTCACTCTCTTCCCTGAGCTCAACTTTATAGCTTTGCTGCTGATGGTGTTGTGCCCACCAGCAGGTTTAGTTGTCTACTATTGCCTGGGCATGTGGACAGGGGTTTTGGTCCTTGAAGCAGCCCCCTCTGCAGTCAGCATCGATTATTCAGGACCTCCCCTTCCTTTTCTGCATCAAAATAAAGCTATAAATGCTTCTCTGTCTCACTGGCATGTTATGAAAGTTAATGAGTTGATGTCTGCAAAAGACTTTGAAAGTATAAAATGGTCTGGAAGTTCTGAGCACTGCGTTGTGAAGGTCTCCCTTTTCCCAGCTTAAGGCAGAATGAGTTAAAGTTAGCCAAAGGGGATAAGAGAAACAAGAGAGACTTTATAAGTGTACCAGGGGAAAAGGAAATACTGGAGAGAAAATAGACCCATTAGCAAATGAGGAAGGAGATGAAGTTAATTATGATTTTAAAATGGATGAGCAGTGGAGCTGCTTTTTTTTTTAAAGAAAAAAATCAGTCTTTAACAAAAATAATAAGATCTGACAATTAGGAAGAAGTGGAGGCCTTGTGAAAACAGGGGTTTGATTAAAAAATGAGGGGGAGAAAACTTGTAAAACATGAATACATGTAAATGAACAAATCTAGACGAAACTCTTCTAAAGAGCTATGAGAAACTAATGCATTTTTCCAAATATTTACCCATGGCAGATAAGGGGAAAGTCATATCAGAAAAGCAAAAGCAACAGCCACAAAAAAGCCAATGATGTTAAGAAAAATGATGCTAATGGTTACCTGCCAGTAAGTATTCATCTGTACTAAAAGCAAGAAGCACAACTGGAGTGAGCAGGAAAGCATCCCGTCTGTTGGGTTATGAAGCCAAGCATCACATCTGTTGGGTTATGAAGCCATGCTACACTAATGAGGTTTCGTTATAGAGTTACAAAATACAGTGATGAGAAACCCAATACAAGCTGGGTCAGATCCAGAGTTGCTGCTCTGCCTCTTTACACCAGCAGATCCATTTGCAACATCTGAACTTGAGTAAATCATTTGGCAGAAATACCTTGGAAACTTGTGTCTGAGAAAAGAAATCCAAATTGTCTTTGATAGGAAGGGTGTCATTTGGGCTGAGAATGGCAGTATGAGGCCACACAGAAAGTGATCTGAAGACAGAAATTAAAATAGATTCTGGCTGTAAATATGTTATGATTATTTCAGCATAAAGAATGATTAAGACATAATTATAAAAAGAAAAACAAGTTACTGTGTGAACAGCAGAACTAGGGCACCCTGGTTCCCAATGTGTTTAGTTGCTGTGGTTGGATTCTCTGGTGTCTAATAGGTTTCCTCTGTGACAGCCCCTCTGGTGGGCTGGCACCTTTGTGATATCTGTGATAATCCTGGGTGTTTGAGCCCTACACAACCTCCAAATGCAACTGGGTCAAAAGGCCAACCTTTCCAAAAGTTCTAAGGAGGGAACTCAGGGAGAGTGATCACATTTGCCACAACCATTTATTTGGAACTTAGATTTAAAAATCTTGCGAGAGGGCAAATTCTGACTGAAAACTGGAATTTCACAAATTAAAGAAATGCTCTGAATTTTGAGATCCTGTTCATCTCCTTTCTCTTGTTTCCAAAACACTGTATCTACATGGATCGAGTACATACAGATAATAGCTGTAATGATCTTATTTTCATACCTACTTCTTAGCTACTATTTTAGAAGCTCGCCCACAAAAGGACAAAGCATTTTTCCAAGGATCTATTTGTTCCATTTTAGTGTAAATGGTTAAGGAAATGAGGAATTTCTATACTGATTATTTTGAAATATATTATTCTTTAAAGCCAGTCTCTCTCTGACTGTTGAACATGTACAGCCAGCTATGATCAATAAAATTGCTTCTTGCAGAGAATGATGCATACAGAACTTCAGACAGGTTAAATTTGCCTGTTGTAGGAATGGGATCAAAACTCACTTTTTATTGATATTAAACCTTCAGCACAAAACTAGATCTGTAGAATCTGCTGAATATCATGTCTGTGTCTCTATTGCTGTACTGGGGATTGAAGTGAGGACAAGGACACTATTTCTTGTCTGTAACTAAGAAGTATCACTGAGTAACATGGGACATTCAGTAGCTTCTTATATGAGGACAGAAGGATGCAACTTTTTTTAAGGACACCAGAATAATGTTACAGTGATTACTTTTCATGTCCAATTTCTATTCTCTACTTGTTAATGGCAGAATTTTTAAAAGCTTCTAGCCTTATTATATTTCACATTTAATAAAAAAATGTGTCCTACATGGTTTCACACCAGTAGAGAGGTCACAGCACACATGGACTGAAAAGAAATCCCCTTAAACAGCAGGAACTGTATAAGTAACACCTCAAATATGGTTTTGAGAAAAGTGACTTAGCAGTTTTCATAGCTGTAAAGCTGGCTCACAGATGCATAGAAATCTATGGAGAAATATACTTCCCTGTCTACCACCAGGATTAGAAAGGCCAGAATGGAAAATATAGAAGAATGGTAAGAAAACACAGCCAGCATATGTTCTGTAGAAGCAGCAAGGCCCAGAGAGCCCAGCTCCCACCTGTAACCACTGTTCTTCCCACAAAGTTACATTTGGAGTGGCAGCTTTACAGTGGGGAGGATTAGGGCACCTAGAGAGCTCTTCTCCCTTCAAGGTCACATATCTGGGGAGCACCCTTGCTCTTTCTCCTGCTGCCAGGGTAATGTTGAGCATGAGGGTGTGGATTTACACATGCTGATCCCTTCTGTGTTCCTTAAGGTCCTGGTTCCCCCCTTCCCATGGTTTTCCTTGCAGATTTGCTTCTTTCTTAAAAGTGCAAGATGGTGTATTGTGCATTCGCCGAGAGCCTAAAAAAGCAAGACAGATTTTATCATTTGGGCTGTAGATATCTAATGCCCATTATGGGCTGCCTAAATTTAGTAGAGTGGCAATTCACCAGACTACTAAATTTAGTTAGGCCATCCGGTCATATCATTTTACTTAGCTTAATATTGGATATCATAAGATAGGGCCTATCAAACAGTATGGCTCCAGCTTCCCCAGCTGCAGATTATATTATCATTATACCTTTTCAAAACATTCATGGTAACTTTTTTAAAGCCTTGACATTTTTTAGTTTGTATATTTTGTTACAACTTTATAAAGATAGTCAAAATTAATTTGGTCTTCACTGTAAAGATCACTGTTAAAAAAAAAAAAAAGATGCTGCCGATTTAATTTCAAGCAAAATCTTTTGACTTTCCCTTTTACCTTCAGTTACAATAGAGTGAATTTTATAATCAAAGCTAGATAGACAAAGCAGAGTCTAATCTGGAGAGAAATTTTGCACATCTTTTGTTGGCTTCATGCATTTCTAGTTGCCATCGAATCTCAGTTCTACTCCAGACAGAAAACAAAAAAACCCAACTTTTTGAGAATCCAGACGACCTAGCCTGTGACAGCAAGAAGGAGTTCTCAGTGCTGAAAATTCGAACTTGTCTTGTGCAGAGTGAATGGGAAAGAGACTTTGGTAAGATCCCATGCACAACAGCTGGAGTTATGGTGATGGGATCGAATATGACTAACAGAATAGCATGTGCAAACTCAACAGCCCTGCTATAATTCTTACATAGTATATGGAAAGAAAATTGCAGTAGCAGTATTCTAGGAGTCCATGGACTTAATCTTTTTTGGTAGGCCTTGAAAGGAAGCCAATGTCTCTCTATCCCGAGTCAGTCATTTCCTATCCAAGTAAACTGAACTGAGATCATCTAGATTCTGGTCTTCGTTTCTAATGAGCTTTCACTGTAAAACAGGAAATAATAACCTTGAAAGGGGAAAAAAATGGTCAAAAATCACTCAGAGAACATTTAAAGGTTTGTTCTGAACAAGGAGGGCTAAGAAAAAGGCCTGAGAAAAGGGTGTCCTGGGATCACTCACAGTTAAAGCACTGATTAATTAAGCAGAGGGTCATTCTTCAGAAAGACTTAAGGGCAGTTTTGGCCCTGGGGCTGTAATTTGGACACTTCTGGAGTTCTAGATACACTGAGCTATTCTGTGCAGGGCCTGTGAATATGTGCATTCTTCTGGCTGAACAATGGCATCTTTATTTAAATGGGAGCAACTAAGTAAGTGGCTGTCTCCTAATATGGGTGGTATTTCTTCCTGCTCTGCCTCAATCTCTGCTGCTTTCCCGCAGCCTTATCAGTGCTTTGTAGCACAACTTACAAAATGAAATCTATTCATGCTGCTAAAACCCTCCCCCTTTTATAGACACAGGAAAAAAACCCAAAATGCTTGCATATCCTCCAATTCTATGGCAGGGTGTTTATTTTTTTTAATGCAATTCTGCTTATCTGGTGCTGGTTTGGAAATTATTAAAATGGTGCCTGAATTTTATTGTTTTGACTATGGGAAGGAAATTAATCCACAACTATTACAAGTGTTTGATCCAAACAAGCAGAGATACAACTACAGTTTCAAGAAACGTCATTCCCTGTTTGTCAGGTATCCTAGTGCTCCTGACATGTCTGATTTATTCCTCCCATGTTTAGCAGTAACACTGTCCAGGTAGATGATGCCCATTCATCTTGCTTTGTGTAGGTATTTCTTCAGGGTGGCTTTATTTATTATGCCTTAACTACTGTTTCTTCTTACTCACTAGGTTTAGCTCTGCCAGAGGTTAGAAAAGAGGTTGTTTGTCTGAAGAGACACGGGTGTGGTGAAAATACTCGGTGCCGGCCAAGTGAACCAAAACACTATCTGAATTACAAAGCAGGCTGGAAAATAAAATGTAACTGTCGGAAGATCTGGACCCGACCTGTGCTGAGAGACAGATAGAAAAGAAGTCACAGGAGCTGGCCGTGTACATCTGGAGGTAGGTCTGGAGAAGGGGGTCTATGTCCCCCAAACCCTCTCAGCAGTTCACAGCAGTGGAGCGAGATTTATTACATTATTGCATGGGGAAAATGAATGTCAATGTTTATGCAATATTAGTTGGTATTGTTAATAGTTAATTTGGTGAGAGCAGCCTTGCTGTGAAACGGTACTGCAGAAATCTGTGACTTTGCTTATCACGGGGACTGGACTGTGGCACCATGTACAGACCAGTCCTGTCCCAAAGCACACTGTAACTAACCAATGGCTGCTGGAGTTGCAAGGATTGGGATGGTGGGGCAGACGTTACTGTTTCCACCAAAGATGGAGCCCAGGGACCTTCGAGCTTCATGTGCCTCCAGAAATAGTGCTTCCTGAATTACCTCTGGGCACTCTAGATCTGTATAAGCACCAAAAAACATCGTACAGAGTGCTGGTTTGATATTTTGTACAATTGCTATGTAATATAAAACAGACCATCCTCAGAGTGGAGAGTGACTTTGTCTTCCTCTGTCTGCCCATGTGAGTGAGTAGCTGCTATCCCTCTTCCAAAAACTTTTGCTCCACTCCACCACCTCCCGTGAGTGTAAGGCAGACCAGCAGCCACGCTAGTGGTGCCAGGGCAGCCTGGCAGCTGTGGCCCTTGGTGGAGGCATGAGTTTTCACAACCCATGTGGCTACCATCTAAAGCTCTGCCGAAACACCTGGCAATCTTTGGGATGGGGACATAATGGGAAGGAAAATGGCTGCCGTTATTCCTAGATGCTGGCTGTTAGATCTGTCTGACCTGCTAAGCAGTGTGTACTGTGGGAGAGGGCACTGAGGGGATGTGTCTCCCCATGCCTATGTGGGAAAGGAAGCCACGAACAGAGCCCTGAAGCAGTCTGGAGAACAGACGTTTTGCATTAGCGATGAGCCAAAGTCAGTTACTCGTATTTAAACGGTACTGGGCTCTGGGGAAATTCAGATGCAGACCTGAAATACATGGCTTGGCTAAAGACTGTTGTTGCTGTCACATGTCTGACCTCTGGAAAATAACATTAATTCAAAAGTTAAATGTGTTCAGCTGACAGTGATGGAGTATTTGTGTTAAGGAGGAGATTTTTCAAAGGCATAAAATCAACTTAGTGATGTGCTACAATTGCTTCATTGACGTCCTACAGAAGGACTGAGTGCAGCAGGTGTGGGAGGGCTTTCAGCTGCTGTGAGGCACTCATTGCACTGAGGGGTGTGGTTGTGAGCTCCCACTAAAAGGGCTGCATTTCCAAAGGTGGTTCTGAAGACTTATGATCTTTCTGGACTCTTTAAATACAATTATTTAGGAAATTATTTCTCCTTGCTTAGTTTCCAAGTAGGCGGTTAGGCTGGGCAACAGCAGACATAGATCTTGTAACTAGCTTCAATGTAAGAGAGCAACATTGCCATAATTCTGGAGATATCTTTCTTTTCTGAACTACATTGGCAGCTCATGATACCAGCATGTCAAAATGACACTCACTTTATATTACACAGAATGTATAAAGACTTGTGTTTACATTTTGTCTCCTTCGCCCTTTTCAATTTTACTTTTTTTTTTAATAGTTTTGTAACTTAAGCCGTACATATTTGGAGATGGTTTTTTTCCATTCCCTGTCTGGCTTTATGGCTTGTTCTGGCTGAGGCATCCTTACAAGATTTGATTTTACAAGAAATATAGGCTAGCACATATGTATGTAATTGTTCCACAGTCAACCAATCTGTCTGGAGCACTGGGGGAAAACATATATTAAAACTTTCTTTCGTGCTATTTACAAACTAAATTGCAAGCTCTACAAAAGATGCAAAATATTAGGAACTGCAACAATAAGGCTTGAGCTAGTTAGCAGGAAGTATAAAAGTATGGTGGAGCCAAACACTCATCAGTGTAATATTTTCATCAGAAACAGAATGTACTGTAACTAGGGGAGATAAGCATGAGTAGGCAAAATGGACTACGCTTAGAGCCAACAAGCAGCAGCAGCTACAAATCACACACTGCTGAGTGAAACCTGAAAAATCAAAGCCTGTTTCTTCTACCAGGAAGAACCCTTCCTGCTCTGAGTAGGTGTGGGGCAGGAACAGGTTGTGGGTACTGCCAATCTGTGCCAACAGCACAGAACAGCTGTGACACTAGGTAGGAGGGGAGGCCAAGCTGTGTCCAGCTTCTGGAGACCCGCCACTCGGTCCTTTGCTGGTAGCAAGTGGCCCTCTGGTAATGGAGTGTTTAAGGAAGTGCCACAGAGCCAAGTGGATTGAGAGCAGGGAGCCATCGTGGACGACCTTAGTAGCCTTTTCCATGCAAGCAAATATGGGAGGACTTCGGTGTTTCCAAGTAGGAGAGCAGTGAAGAAAGGAGCCAAGAGTTGTTGCTGAGGTAGAGCAGCAAACCTTGTTTAACAGAGGGTGCATTGCAGTGGTATCAGCAACGTGGAGCCAGTGCTGCGAGTGCCGCATACTAGGACTTATTTAAAGAGGCTATTGTAAAAGTCTTCGAGCCAGTTAATTACCAGTTTTTGTTATGTCAGGAACTCCTTGAGTTAAAGCAGAAAGAAACTATTCATGAATATGTTCCAGTTCTGTAGTTTAATGGGACAAATTTAAAAAAAAAAAAAGAAATAGAGAGAGAAACTGATAAAATGATTTAGTTCATGGAACGATTGAAAACCTTTACAAAAAAAGCTGAAATTACATATTGTACCCCATCTACTCTAGCATATGCCATTGAAATTGCTGGAGACTTAGTTGGACTAATCGTCCATTGCAGTTATGCATGAGCCTTAGGGAGTGCACAGGGTGCATATGGGCCAAAGCACCAGCCTATGAAAGAGAGAGAAATTATCCAACAGCATTTTTAAAAAAGTAGATATCCAGGTATGATAAGCCAAGAGGCTTGGCTTGCATTTAAAAATTATCAAGAGCAAGTGAGGAATTTAATTTAATTTATTCACCAAGTGGACTTGAAGAGGTGTGAAAAAAGGACCAAAGTTAGCCAGGCTGGATGGGGCTTTGAGCAACCTGGTCTCGTGAAAGATGCCCCTGCCTATTGCGGGCGGGTTGGAATTAGATGATGTTTAAGGTCCCTTCCAATCCAAATCATTCTATGATTCCATGAAGTGATGTTAGGCAAGAGAAAACTTTCAATGGAAACCAAAAATCTACAGAGGACTTTAATGTGGGTTTATTCCCTTCCTGCTTACATCAGTTTTTCCCTCGTACCTCCCTGCTTACTGTGAAGTTGTTGATGGATCATGGCTATTGCAAGCAGATTCAGGCCCAGAAATTCCATCTGATCAGAATAAAAGTCATATTGCATGCTGCATATTGAATCAAACTGCAGATATTGGAGTAAATGGTGGATGAGAGCTGTCTCACACTATCAGTATTCTTTAGACATTTACTTTGCTGCCTTCCACACCCTGAAAATCACAAACACACTTACTGAATTGAGGTTTAAAAGCAACTCGAAACAAATCATAGTTCTTAGCTCTGCTGGCTAGAAGAATACTATTGCCAAGGGAGTGCTTTCTGCATGTGTCCGAGTACCTCCAAAATGACCTGTCATGTGTATATGTGTCCTGGTTTCCTTTTTTTACAAAGAGTGTTTTTTAGGAATTTAGCCTACCTTTGAGATAAGAAATGAGGCCAGCATACTAGAATGCCCATCTTCCTAGTTCTTACCATTCCACAACTGAGATCCCAGACCTCCTCATACATTATGGAGCATCTTGGAGAAAGCTTCTATGATTTTGTTCTATAAATGCAATAATCTCTCAGGATATGGAGACAGCACAGAGGATATTGAACACAGTTTGTTAGATGTTTTCTCTCTGTATTACTTGTGTCTTTTCATCCCTGGTAAACTTCTCTGTACCTGGCTTTTCAGAAGTCCCCCAAGTCCTCCATCAAACACCTTAGGTGATGATACTACTGTAATGTAGGGCTGACCACACTGTAGAGGTTGTCAGCCTTTCAATGGTGCTCTCTTCCCAGGGCTGATTTTCCCATTTGGCATGCTGCTCCCCACTTCTCCCTGCTCCTGCTCCTCTCTCCTGCCCAAGGGCTTTGCTCTGGGTGCAAGAGCCCTTCTGCTGCACGCTGAACTCCTGGTGTTCAAGACACAAGGCTTTTGCTGTGTTGTTCTTTAAAGTGCTAATTTGGTTTTACTAATATATTTTCAATGGCTGGGATTAGCAGAGCTTGTAAGAACATATCAGACCTGTCAGGTTTACAAGTCCACTCGCCACCTCCACCCCCTTACATATATTTTTAAATAGCTAATTAGGAGATAATGCCAGTGGAACAAAATACTGTCACAAGATAATGATCTCACACCGCTATAGAAATGATAAGTGGAAATGTTTATTTTCAAAGGGAAGAAACACTGATCATGTGCCTAATCCTATATTCTTAAACAAGTAAAATTCCTGTAGATTTCAGTAGAGCCTGAGGTGACAACATCCTATTACTGTGGTAGTATTTCTGGATACCAAACAGCCATAAGTGATGCAGTCATTTTCTCCAAATGATACTGGTGCAGTATTGGAACAGATGTTTCCCTTACCTTTATTAGCCTGTTGTATCTTCTAACTTGGAAGACAAATTTTGCATGTGCTTCATTGCATCAGCTTAGATGATTTTTTTTTTTTTAAGATGTGCTTTAGGAAGCAGTGAGCTGTGGGTTGGATGAAGTTATGCTTATTTTTAACTTTCTGACAATTCATAATGGTGATACACAAGTCTGGCTTGCTACTGGCAGGCTCCCTTTGGTACACTAAGGATCCTCTCTGTTTAAATCAAAGATGGCCTTTCCTCTATCTTTCCAAATTTTGGAAACAAGGATTGTCTTAAATTCACCTTTCAGGAATAAACCACCTTATCTTTCTGGTGGTGTGAAGGGCTTCTCACATACAAGTTTGTTAGCTCTTCTGGCATAACTGCTCCTGTTCCTCAGTAATAGATTGCAGACAATTTAGGGCAGCTTTA